CCCCAAAACCCCAAAACCCCATCATTATCAAATCATTAGATTACATGAAATTTAATGAGCATCATTATTATAATGATAACTTTAAATATTTTTCTATAATACTTTAAGAATGATTTGTTATTCAGGGTTATTGGTCCTTGCTGAATAGATGCCCGAATCTTCTCAATTCATATTCTATTATAGATTAAATAAAGAAAAAATTACATTAAATTTGCTTATTTGGACTCTTTTTATTAGGTTTTATGATGTCTGTCATTTGAACCTCAGTCTGATTTCTATTATGTCTCATTTACTTTAGAGTCTATATAAATTTTTAGCTGCTCTGGTTCTCACTCAAATCCCATTCCTTAGGTTCTTCATCAATTTTTTATTGATTATAGGAAATTTCATGAGTTTAAGTAATGATTTTCTGGCTTAAATACTCTGCCTGACTCATAGCATCAGCTTCACTTACTAATCCATTATTCAAGATATGATCTGAGTTCTTCGATCTGTTAATTAAATCTTTCATCACATTTCTTCTAGAATTATGCTAAGCAGTCTTTGGAATATTGTGATTGGCAAGATGCTTATCACTGGGCCACACATAGGCACTCTGTTGAAACTAGGCTAAGTTGACATTCATTCCAAAATTGTTATCCTCAATTTTAAGAAGCAAAGACTGATTCTTTGGACCTATATTGCTTTAGTTAAGCAGTTAGTTGTTTTGATGAGCCACTCTTTCAAATGTTTTTTTCCTTAAGTGCTTTTTGTCCAGATATTCCTTATTCCTGGTATCTCTTGCATTTGTAGGGAAATTAGTATACTGCTTTAGTGCATCATGCTTATTAACTGAAACTTAGTGAGCTTCGCTAGTATTCTTCACATTTTGATTTAAACTACTCATTACACTGAAGTCAAGCAGTTAACTCTTCCTCTCTGTTGAATCTTAAGATTATCCTTATGCGTTTTGATTTCCATGATTTTTATTTCTCCTTGTCATTATGTTCGAGGAATGCATCATATTCCTTGATTCCTAGATCGATGTCCCTGCTCTCTTCCTGTTTGAAGTTGCAGCATTATGCATGTTAGTTGCAAATGAAAAACCCATTTTAGTTCGGTTGCTCATTGATGTTTATGGTGAATTTCTTGCCAATAGCAGAGAAGAGTTATGCTCAGGGACTCGAGAGCTTTGAAGCTGAGATTAATCTTGATTTTAACTTTGAGGATTAAGGATTGAACTAGCTAATTTTCTTCTTGCAGTGTTCTTCATAAAATCTTCTTAGTGCTATTATAGCTGAGCTATAGGTTAAATTAATCTAATAAATATACTTATGAATGTCTCTTCGTTTCCTTTAATTTTAGTGTCCATAAGTTTAAAATAGTCACTTATAATCTCTCTATTCATATTTTAAGTTCTCTTGATCTCGTTCAATAAACTCTCATTTTCCTTCTTGACATTCCTTATCTCTCTCATCAAAGGCTCCTTGATCTCTTAAATTTGCTTATCAATCAAGTTGAATTGTTTATTCATATAATTTTATCCACCTTCTATGTTAATCCCAAGTACTTCACATCTAAAAGTTTTAAATACAACTCTTTGCTTTACTTTTTTAGAAAAGATGTCTTAAAGTCTCTTAGTTCATTAAGCTCATTAACCATATGATCAACCTATTTCCTTTTAAAGATTTTATGCGATTCCAAATCCTAATGCATTGCTCCTTATTCCCGCTCCAGATAAAGTACTCTTTTGCCTAATCGATCATTCTCATTAGTCATTAATGTTATCTTCGTACTGAATTGATTTTACAAGTCTTATATTCTCTCGCCCAGATCCTAGAAAGATTTATTGCATAGAATATATCATACCTTCATCTAATTATTGAAAGATCCCACTTATTTGTTGTAGTTGCCAATAAAAAGCAAAAACTAATCATATTTCTTCACAATGTCCTTAAGCTTAGATGTCAAATCTTCAGCATCTTTTAATGTTCTTGCAATTTTTTCAGCGTTTTGCAATAGCTTCTATTCGAATTCACTGTTCTACAACATTATAAAGTTAAGTATTTACCATATCTCTCAAAACATCCAATTCATCTTTGTGATTGTAGACCATATCTCTCAGGTCGCATATTTGCTCTTTTAATTCTTTGATCTACTGCTGAGTTGTCTTGTATTTGTTCTCTCCGTCTGATTAAGTATTTTAGGTTATGATTACTTCTTCATGATGCTCTTCAAGGGGTTTTCGTTAATTTTCTTATAGCTCTCTCTAAGTTATTTTAAGAAGTAAGTGAATAATTTACAATCATCATGTCCATGGATTTAATCACGTTCCTTAGCTTTTTAATATCTTCTTCATTCTTTTTGCCTGAATTGACATCGTATTTATCGCTTAAAAAAGATTCTAAATCTCTCTTATCCATTTTACTTTCGAGGATATATTCAGCCTCTTTCTTAAATCCATTATAAAGTACATCTCTAACTCTACACATTTCATCTTCAAATGTTGTTATCCTATGACTCATCCTCTATAGTATTTGTTAACAATCGATCCAATTATAGTGTATATATATTTTTAAATTGACAACAGAGGAATTCCTTGTTGCGAAACCCCTATATACAAGGTTTTTATAAATCATTACTGATCATAGGAATCTTACTAAGCTTACTTACATCGAATTCTTTTCGATTCAACAAGTACTGTATTTTATCTTGATAATCTGTGATGGAGACCTTCTAGTCAATCTATGTAAAGCATTCAGACCTGAATGATTTGAATTTTTCATCCACATATGTTATCATGTCCAGTTTAATTATTTCCCCCATTGTCTTGACTTCCTCGGCTTGTATGAATTTAGGAAGTACCTGCTTTATATCGCCTATTGTAATGCACTGAGTTTCGAATTCTTTTTCAATTCTTTCCAACTATTATTATAGATAATTAATGCTATTAATTTACCTTTGGAAATACTAACTCGATTTCATGCATTTTATCCATCAGTTCAGGCAATGGAACCTTTTGCTTCACATAGGTCACTATTATTCATGAGATAAATACATAAATTTTAAGTTTCAAATATTTTCATGATTAATGGGATTGCAATTATAACCTCAGTTAAGAGTGTTTTTTACTTACAAGCAGCCTAGGCATCTCTTCTAAGCTTGGCTTCTCTTAATTTAAGTTACTCTATCTCCTTCGTTTTTTAGTCTAATGCAACGAATATATCCGACATTGAAATTCTCTATCAATCTTATATAATTTAAAATAATGTTTAAGTAAGTTTCTAATAATCATTCATAAAACTATATAAAAAGAGGAAGAAATTATAAATTAAGAGTTGTAAAAATAGTTATTGATTATTGATTGATAGCTAATACCTTCACTTAAACTCATAATAAATTAGCATATTTATCAAGCAGATAAGTCTTATCATCCTTGCCCACTCATACTTATACTCATAGTTTGTTTGCAATATCCTCAATGAATTTATCAACCTTTTAGAAGTTTGTTTTGAAGTCTTGGCAAAGCAAATTCAATGCTCCCATATCTAAGCTTTCAGTTTCACATATCAGAATGAGTAGAATATTCTTGCCAATTTGCTATTTCCTTACGAAGTACTAGTTGTACATTACACTGACTTCAAAGTTTTGGCAATCCCCCAGTTTCTTCAATTACCCCTTGAAATCTGTGTAGAGCTCGTTCATACCACCTCTAAGACCATTTAAGAAGTTCTCAGTTACTTCGTTCTTGAATTCTAGGTCTCTTGCAATGTATTTATAGATTTCAACATCGTCTTCTAATTCTGATAAGATTATTGCCTTGATAAATGGCATTTTTCTCACGTATTGCTATACTTTCTGTTCTAGGTCAGCTGATTACATTTTATTAATATATTATATAATTATTTCTATAATTATTGATATTAGCAATTCGGGGTTTTGGGGTTTTGGGGTTTTGGGG